TATAATTCCATTATGGCTAAAATTTATTTTGATCAAGTCTCAGTCTTACACAGTATTATTTACTGGTGACGTTTCAAGCACAATTTATTGCTCATAATCACTGATATGATTATGAGACTTTATCAAAATAAAAAATCTACCTATAATGGAATTACACCTTAAACTATTCAATACGTGATACCAACTCGAACTAAATTATCAAATTTATGGACACTAACACTGCAACTCTCAAGGCAAAAACTGAACAGCACTTACCTTCGGCGAAGGAACAACTGAAAACGTGTTCATTATCCGGTCAGGATACTCTTCGCGTATCTTCGAGATCAACAGTGTACCCATTCCAGAACCAGTACCACCACCGAGTGAGTGAGTCAACTGGAAGCCTTGAAGACAGTCACACGACTCCGACTCTTTCCTCACCACATCCAACACCGAGTCAACCAACTCAGCTCCCTCTGTATAATGGCCTTTCGCCCAATTATTCCCAGCGCCACTCTGACCAAATACAAAGTTATCCGGACGGAACAGTTGTCCGAAAGGTCCAGCACGGACACTGTCCATTGTCCCAGGTTCTAGATCCACCAGGATAGCCCGTGGGACATACTTTCCACCAGATGCCTCGTTGTAGTAGACATTAATGCGTTCCAGCTGCAGATCAGAATCACCATGATATGTCCCCGTTGGATCGATTCCATGTTCATCTGAGATGACTTCCCAGAACTGGACAATTTAAAGGTGGACATGGACAAAGGGTATTAGTGAATGCACAAAGTCCAGTAGAACATGAAAATAATAAGGTGTTGTGTATGTATGTGTTTCGACATACCTTGGCACCAATCTGGTTTCCACACTGACCAGCTTGAATATGGACAATCTCTCTCATGACAACCGGTCACTAAGACGGAAGTACGCGAAACGAAAGCGAAAACTACAGCTTAGCGTCAGTAGCAGACTTGCTAACCAATTTAATCCATTCATTGTCGAAATAAATGGATTAAATTGGTTAGCAAGTCTGCTACTGACGCTAAGCTGTAGTTTTTGCTTTCGTTTCGCGTACTTCCGTCTTAGTGACCGGTTGTCATGAGAGAGATTGTCCATATTCAAGCTGGTCAGTGTGGAAACCAGATTGGTGCCAAGGTATGTCGAAACACATACATACACAACACCTTATTATTTTCATGTTCTACTGGACTTTGTGCATTCACTAATACCCTTTGTCCATGTCCACCTTTAAATTGTCCAGTTCTGGGAAGTCATCTCAGATGAACATGGAATCGATCCAACGGGGACATATCATGGTGATTCTGATCTGCAGCTGGAACGCATTAATGTCTACTACAACGAGGCATCTGGTGGAAAGTATGTCCCACGGGCTATCCTGGTGGATCTAGAACCTGGGACAATGGACAGCGTCCGTGCTGGACCTTTCGGACAACTGTTCCGTCCGGATAACTTTGTATTTGGTCAGAGTGGCGCTGGGAATAATTGGGCGAAAGGCCATTATACAGAGGGAGCTGAGTTGGTTGACTCGGTGTTGGATGTGGTGAGGAAAGAGTCGGAGTCGTGTGACTGTCTTCAAGGCTTCCAGTTGACTCACTCACTCGGTGGTGGTACTGGTTCTGGAATGGGTACACTGTTGATCTCGAAGATACGCGAAGAGTATCCTGACCGGATAATGAACACGTTTTCAGTTGTTCCTTCGCCGAAGGTAAGTGCTGTTCAGTTTTTGCCTTGAGAGTTGCAGTGTTAGTGTCCATAAATTTGATAATTTAGTTCGAGTTGGTATCACGTATTGAATAGTTTAAGGTGTAATTCCATTATAGGTAGATTTTTTATTTTGATAAAGTCTCATAATCATATCAGTGATTATGAGCAATAAATTGTGCTTGAAACGTCACCAGTAAATAATACTGTGTAAGACTGAGACTTGATCAAAATAAATTTTAGCCATAATGGAATTATACTTAACCACAGTGTACAAGTTTAATTCTTATAGTGTGAGATGTGTTGACTTACTAATAGATGTTTTGTAGAATAGGGGAGGTGTTGTTAGTTAGTGACCTAGACCGTTGTATTATTGAAGTATTGATGTTTGTTGACAAGAGTATTTGTGGTCTTTCAGGTCTCGGATACAGTCGTGGAGCCGTATAATGCAACGCTCTCCGTCCATCAGTTGGTGGAGAACACAGACGAGACTTATTGTATCGACAATGAGGCCCTGTACGACATCTGTTTCCGGACTCTGAAGTTGACAACTCCAACATATGGTGATTTGAACCATCTGGTGAGTGCAACCATGTCAGGAGTGACAACGTGTTTGAGATTCCCCGGTCAATTGAATGCTGATTTGCGTAAGTTGGCAGTGAATATGGTTCCCTTCCCACGTCTCCACTTCTTCATGCCTGGCTTTGCACCGCTGACAAGTCGTGGTAGTCAACAATACCGTTCATTGACTGTTCCTGAGTTGACACAGCAGATGTTTGACGCGAAGAACATGATGGCGGCGTGTGACCCACGACATGGACGTTATTTGACGGTGGCTGCCATCTTCCGTGGTCGGATGTCAATGAAAGAGGTTGACGAACAGATGTTGAATGTTCAGAATAAGAATTCGAGTTACTTTGTTGAGTGGATTCCGAACAATGTGAAGACGGCTGTTTGTGACATCCCACCTCGTGGATTGAAGATGTCGGCGACATTTATTGGGAACAGCACAGCTATCCAAGAGTTGTTCAAGCGTGTGTCTGAACAGTTCACTGCTATGTTCCGTCGTAAAGCTTTCTTGCACTGGTACACTGGTGAGGGTATGGATGAGATGGAGTTCACGGAGGCTGAGTCGAACATGAATGACCTGGTGAGTGAGTACCAACAGTATCAAGATGCAACGGCCGAGGAGGAGGGTGAATTTGAAGAGGAGATTGAAGATGCTTAAATAATTGTTGTCCAACTACTCCTACTATGACTACTACTACTGCTTTCATTGTTGTCGTTTTTTTCAATATAAATTATCATTTCCCTCTGACGTTGTTATTGATGGACCGATTCTCTGAGATGTCGCGTTATCGAGTCATTGTATGAGGTTGTGTGAGTTGAATGTGTTGAGATCGTGTGTGTGTGAAGTAGTGAAACTGATTGCTCTGTGTTCCGTTCGACGAGATAACTAGGCGGTGAATTGCGTTAGTGTCATACTGGCGAATGGATATCTAGTTGTGTAGGTGTTGTATGGCCTAGTGTTGGGGTATTGTGGTGTATTGCTATGTGAAGATAGCGTAGTTGTCTTACACGTGATTGTAAGGGTTAGTCCATGACGTGTAGTAGTGATTGGTGCTTTGGATTAGTTTGTTGAGCGAGTGAAGAGGAAGGTACGAGTTGTTTGCGTTTGTGTTCTAACACCTGTCTGATTATTCACTTATTCAAGTCGAAGTTTAGAGAATGAAATCCAAGGACGACAAGTCATTGACAAGGCTGAAGAGAGATTTCGTCATAACTCAGATGATTCTGTGTGGGATGTCTGCTGTTCACTTACACTCTAGTGGTGGTATTATTTTTACGAGGTTGTGGGTTGTTAGCCTCACGCCTACTCCTCCCTCTCCTCCGGGATTACTACCAGCTTAGCGGTGGATTCGGAGTGCATCGGGACGGAAATCAACCATCCCTTTTACCTCCTGAGTAGCTAGCTAGCTATCTGGCAAGCATTCCACTAGGGAACCACTGACGCATTATGAAATGTCATGAAAACTATCAACCTCAACTTAAATACATTGAAGAAGTAAGAGACATTTCACAAAGGACTAAATTCAATGTGATGTACAGTTTACACCCTAGTAGGTGGTGGTCAGTCGTGAGCCGGCAGAACTCAAAATGGGAAACATCTCTGACTGTTATCCTGGTTGGTGTGGGCTTGAATCTCACAGTGTGAACGGTTATCAGCTACAACATTACAGACACGCTTATCTAATGAGAATACCAACAAGAAGCACCAGAGCCTAGTTTCATGTTTCCCTGTCAGTTTCATCATTCAACCATCTAACATACAGACAGATGAATGTAGAATCCATCATGTTAGGAGACAAAAAATTAGACATGCCAGTAAAGTAACAAGGAGAAATAGATTGATAATGGATGGGATCAGGGAGAATGTATATAAGAAGGGGGATAGGCACTTA